AAACGCTTTGCAATGCATGGGGGATTCACTACAGGGCAGCTGGGCAAGTTACCTTCCGAGTACAGATCGGCCAGCGGCGAGTCCGAACTTTGACATCCGAAGCATTCCAATTCCTATAAGAAAATAACGAGAAAGAAGGCCGGTTTGCCGTCGTGAAACCATGCACATCTGGTCTATTTACTCTCTTCGGATCATGTAGGTTAGATGTCGTTTACTATTTAAATTGGTAGGTCACCTTTGTTCAGATGGCCACATGGCTATCACAATTTGTATATACAATAGTTGTTTTGTTTTGCCCAATTTTGACTTATCGAGGCCCAAAACTTCAATTAATGATGCCATTGGTTTTCTGGGTTCAATTAGTGGCCCAACCCAACAACATCCCTCCCCGAGGCCCACCCTGAGCCCATTTTCCCACCCACTATATTAGTCTAGTTATGACAAAGTATGGCGAAAATTGTCCAAAAAGTCATAATCCTATTATAAATTTGTCAATTTAATCTAAACTTTTCAATTTTACCAATTGAGTCATAAATATTTTTTTTGGCCAATTGAGCCCACCCGACCAATTTTAGCCAGAAATCGCTAACATTGCATGATCGGTACTAATGTGGATAATTTTTAATAATATTTTTTCTCTTCTTTTTTTCTTTTTTTTTAATCTTATTTGTCTTCTTCTAAGCCCAGCCGATCCTCGTCGGCCACGAAGGCCCCCCCGCCAGATCTAGGTGAGGACTACGATCCTCACCGAACTTGATAGAAAAAAAAAGGAAAAGAAAGAAAGAAAAAAGAAATATAAAATATAAAAAATTATCTAAAAAATCATTTTTTAAAAAATTATAAAAAATTGCCCACGCCAATACCGGCCTTCCTATGGCGCACTACCAGCGACCATATCAACGATTTCTACTTAAAATTCTCTAAATTGACTCATTTAACAAAACGTGAAAAGGTTGAGGACTCAATTGGCTAAATCAAAAGGCTTAGAACTTAATTGTAAAAAAGTGTAATAAGTTTAGGATTCTTTAGAAAATTTTCCCCAAAGTGTTATGGTCATTGAGAAGGATTGGGTTGAACTATGAATTTTTGTGCCCAAAACTGCCCATTACAAAATTTGTAGCTATAAACCTTCGAACCAAATTGAGCTTTTTCACTAAATGCCCTAGTCCAAGCCCACCCAAAAGCCTTCAAACCCTTGTGGCTTTGTTTGAGCCTAGGCGGGCTCACAAGCCGCTAGATCGATCATGGGTCTACGACAAATGTTAACTTCTCCAATTTGTTTAATTTAACACTGTCACTATTCTTCTGATAATTCTGAAGATACAAGGCTATAGTACATTTTTCTTCTTTCACTCTTTTATATCTAGGATTATTACCACGAGAAACCCCAAACTGATATACTTCCGTTAAATTTTACCGTCAAATTGCTGAGTTGGATGACACGTGACAGTTGATGAGTGAGCAATTTGAGGTTTATATCTCCATTTGTCACAGGTGTACCAGTTTGTGGTTTTTCATGGTATTAATCCAACTTAACGGAAACTAACGGAGGGTAAATTTATCAGATATGCATCAATTTGGGATTTTGATGGTCAAAAAGTTAGTTTTGGGTAAATTTGTCGCAGATATACTAGTTTCAGATTTTTGGTAGTGAAAAAACTAATTTTGGGTAAATTTGTCACATATATACAAGTTTAGAATTTTTCGTGGTATTAATCCTTATAACTATATGAAGATTGTAGTAATTAAGGAAAAAAGCTCTATAATTGATCCAAGTCTTGCTTAATTTCAAGGAGATTGGGTTGAAATTAGCCATCTATATAATGTAAAAGTTGAGAGTATCATAGTCTTAAACTAACCACATTTAGGGCTTCGCTAGAACTTTCTATTTGGATTCCTTTTAAGTTAATATCACGAAAAACCCAAACTAGTACATCTACGACCAAAAAACCCCACACTGGTACACTTTGACAAAATTACCCCAAATCAATCTTTTTAGCACCAAAAATTCCAAAGTGGTACACTTGTGACAAATTTACTTCCCATTAGTTTCCGTTAAATTGGATTAATATCATGAAAAATCCCAAACCGGTACACATGTGACAAACGAAGGATAAGACCCCAAACCGGTACACCCGTCAACTACCATGTGTCATCCAACTCAGCAAATTGGTGGTAAAATTTAACGGAAGCTAACAAAGGATAAATTTGTCAAAAGTGTACCAGTTTATGATTTTTCCTGGTAAAAAAATTAATTTTGGGTAAATTTGTCACAAGTGTACCAGTTTGGAGGTTTTCTCGGTATTAACACATTCTTTATTTGCCAAGAAGACTTCTACTTGCTTGATGCAAGTATAATAGCGATCCCAATTCTAAATTTTCTTCTTGGGGCTCTACAATCTCGTCTCAAATGACTATTCTTTTCACAATTACAGCAAGCTACTTAACCTCGAGGTCTCAATTTTCTTCTCCCTCTGATCTACCATGATTTTGGCTTCGACTTCATTCTCTCTCTGCCTTCGTTACTCAAGAAAGAATTTGAAAATTCACCCAACTTTCTTATGCTAATATCCTCACTAAGAATCAAATCCCGAATCTCCTGAAACTTCAACTTTTTCTGACTAGACAAACTGCCAAACACAATTATAGCCGCACTCAAACCTTTGGCTATAATCAAAGCTTTAACCTCATTATCGAATTTGATTTCCTCAAACTCGACTGAATCGTGATCATGTTGAATTTGTTGATATGATCTGTCAGAAAAGAACCTTGCTCCATGTTTAGATTGAAAAGATGAAGCATCATATATACCTTGTTTGACGCAAAGGGTTTCTTGTACATGTTGGATAAAACCCTCATCAAATCCGCTATTGTCTTTTTGTTGGAGATATTGAAGGCAACATTCTGCGCCAACGTGAAACTAATCAAACCTAGGTTTGTCGATCTAACAATTCACAATCTAATCAAACTAAGCAATGAACCATTGGCAGAACCGAAACACGAGGGATGGAAAACCACAAGGATGCTGATTTGGGACTGAAATCAAGAGTTAACACGAGCAAGAATAAGCAGTGCTATGTATTTTCGCACAACGCTCAAGAAATAAGCTCATCATCCCTAACGCGTGCATGTGTTGCCCGCACCAACCACTGATCCTAGAAATTTGAATAGAGAGAAGGAGGAGTATGATCAAGTTTTCACTAACTAGCATCATTAGGAAAAGATGCTCAAATGAATGCCCTTCAATCAGGTCAAATACAGAAGCCGGTTTGTGCATTGCTGGGAAGTTCATGCGGAAACCAGAGTTATAGGAAGCGATCACAGTGCTTCTATTGCCATGGACCGAATATGTGGAGTATCGACTATCCATATTACATGACAAGCGCCTGAACTAATGCTTTGAGTCCTCAACAATGTCATTAAAGTTATATTCAGAGAATAAACCTCGACTTCTGGTTCACCCAAGCATCTTACATAAACATCACCGATGAATATTATACTATCAACTAGTCATTACACCTTTCACTTAACCCAATAAGATAAGACCCCAAGAACATCCCCCATGTCGAGAAACCGACATAATTCTCACCTGGTTGCAGAGCATTTTAAGCACCTAATCACGACTTGTCTAAGTGAAGCTCAACAAAGTCTTTTCATACCGTTTGCCAAAAGGCACATCTCGAGGAGCCATGTCGGTAAAAGTGTCAGAAAAGTCTTAAACCTATTGCATTAATGCCAATTGAGTCCTAAACCTTTTTTTGGTACCAATTCAGTTATAAACTTTTTATCTTTGTGTCAATTCAGTCCTTCTGGCTAATTTTAATGTGGACGTCAACTGGCCTACGTGGTACCACTGGCAATGGCGTAGACAATTTTTAATAATATATATTTCGTATTTTTCGAATTTTTTATTTATTTTATAAAAAAATCGTTTCTTTTTCTTTTTTTTCTTTTTTTTTTCTTTCCCTTTCTTCTTCGGCAACCGGCTAGAGGCCAGGGCCGGCAAGGGACCTTGCTTGAATGGCAACCAGCTGGAGGAAGAAGAAAGGGAAAGAAAAAAAAAGTATAAGAAAAAAAATTAATAATAAATAAATAAATTCGAAAAATATTAAAATATTATTAAAAGTTGTCCACGTCATTGCCGGTGATGCCACGTAGGCCGACCGGCACCCATGTCAGCAATATCCAGCCAAAATTAGTTGTAAGGACTGAATTGACACAAAGACAAAATGTTTAGGACTAAATTGGCACCAAAAAAATATTTAGGACTAAATTGGCACTAATACAATAGATTTAGAACTTTCCTAACACTTTTCCCGGCCATGTTAGAAGATGGTGGGCCTAATGGAGGTGAGATAAGATTGTGTCGGTCTAATCACAGCTTCTACTACAGTGTACTCGTTCAAAATTTTCAATGTTTTACAAGCTTGTTAAATGCCTTCCATGTCAACCTGGAGGAATGCATAGGGATTGTAACGACATGGAACTGCAATTAGAATTTGACATTTTAAATAAATGCTTCATGGTCACACCTAGTACATTATCAACGGATATAGGAGGAGCTCCGAATTGTAATGTGTCATCATCAGCATTTGCAGCAGTCAGAGAGTAACGGGTGAACAACTAAGGAAGTGATCGGAGAACTTTAAAAGAGTGGTTGACGATGGCATAATACTATCAGAATTATCATACACTAAAATCTTATGCTGTTGGATGAAGACATAATTTAATATTTAAATATTCTAATATATCATATGCTTGCAAAAACAATGAGGCAATGAATCTAAAGGGTATAGACGTTAACATTCAAAGAGATGCTAAAGTTGTCAACATTTTCGATGCACCTTATTTTGCTTGCATTCCAAGCACTTTCTTAAGAGTACAAATATCTCAAACAAAAATCACAAGTTCAAAAGAGTATTTTGGTACTTATCGGTATTCAATGGTTGGTATGAATTAGACCGAGACATCTCATCATGCCTACAATAGCTAAGCAATAACTAATTTTGTCCCAATGGTGAAACCAAACTCTCTACCACAGTCACTAAATCAAGTGGCCCCAATGTCGAAAGGAGTCGTGTCAGTCCCATGCTTGGATTCCACGAAATCAACTCACATTGGTAGGTATCCATAAGAAGCTCGCCACTCCACGTGAAGCCGTGAAATCTCGACACTCCCTCATTGAGATCTAAGGTGTGCAGCTTAGTCCAGGACTCGGCCACACCATATTCCGTCATAACCCAAACGTAACATGTATCATTCAATTGATTTCTTGGGTCCACATGATTAATAAGTAGCACCAACGAGTTATTCAAAACTGATAGATAAACATAGTCATACGTGACTCCAACGAGACAGCTCTTCGGCAGTGCTATCTGGTTGAAGACCTCAGCTGCTACCCCAAATGTGATTATCGATCCATAACACCAACAACGGTCTCCATCAGCAACAATCGAGATCCAATGCAAATTTCCATTGAAAGAGACTGTCGAGAGGTCACTCAATTCACACCCGTTGTTGAATTCGACCGTTCGCCACATATCTGTACTAAGCCTATAAACTTGAACTTCATATTCTAACCTGCCCATGTATCCCTCATTATTATCATGAAAATAAGTAATCCTAACAATCCTATAGTCATTAATTATGTCGCTGTATCCAAATCCTAGAACCATACGAGTGTCAACAAAATCTGGAGGGGAACTCTTAACCTCCTTGTACTTCCTAGTGAATAAATTCCACAGAAATATCGTCTGACTGTCTTATCCAGGATTAGCCTCAGCAACACAGATCAATCCATTGCATCAACCCACGACCCTATAATGGGCTATAGGGCTAATGAATGGAACTTCGATTTCTAACTGAGAAGCTGCAATAAGAGACTTATCTGGATACAGAGAGCTCATTTGATCGCGAGAAAAGTACCAATCCATGAGAAGAACATACCAATTGGTGCCACTGAGAGCGGAGTGCTTCAAGTGCACGGCCACAAAGTCAGGATCATCAATCATGCACTGCCACGATTTGGAGACGCATTTGAATCTCATGAGAGGCTTCACTGGCAATCTCTTGAGAATTTCGAGGACTATCTCATGAGGGAGGTTCTTGTTCAGCCTCGTCATCGATGGAGCAAGGCGAATCAAAATAAAGGTGATTTTGTGAGATCTGAATGTTATGGTCTCACGGAAGAGGATTAAAGTTGCTCATCATACTTAGCCGTTGTGTTGTCCATCAAGTCCAATTTTGTAATCCTGGACTTCTTATGTAGTGGTCTTTAGAGGGAAATAAATCTTAATATCATAAAAGACCGTACTGATGTTAGAATTACAGCGAAAGCGAGCCTATTCAATCCGCCTCTATCTCGTGGCTATATGAGGCCCAGTCGAAGGCCACACATTGACCTCTCACGGCAATTTCGGATTGATCACACCAGTGATTCGCATGATCTTCAACCACAAGTTCCAGGGCAGAGATCTTAATTGGGCCAGAGGCCCCCAACTGAAAGGACTGCAAATGGACCCTTATCAACAAGACCGCGATATTATTAACTTTAATTCGGTGTATTAATATTAACTTCTGCCATTTGGATTGATTAAGTTCTCCTAATCAGGCAATGAGTTCGCTAGATTTCTCTATTGGCGGGTTGTCAACTCATGTTGGTGCCAGTTTTGGATAAATATCTAGGATAACTTCTACTTCAAAGTTAGCAACAAACAGATCTCCAAAAAGTACAGACCAGTGCCGCTGGTCCAGCGGTGAGCCCAAGCTTTGACAAACCGAAGCATTCCAACTCTGATAAGAAAATAACAAGAAAGAAGGCCAGCTGGTTTGCCGTCGGTGAAACCATGCACATCTGGTCTTCGTATTCTCTTTGGATCACGTAGGTTAGATGTCGTTTACTATTTCGATTGGTAGGTCACCTTTGTTCAGATGGCTACACGGCCATCACAATTTGTATAGAGTATGGTTTTTTTGCCCAATTTGACTTATCGAAGCTCAACTCAACAACACCGCTTCTCGAGGCCATCGTCAGCACGTTTGCCCACCCACAGAATTGGTCTAGTCACGACAAAGTATAGCCATCCTTAAGCGGGATCGGGTCGGACTTTGATATCAAAAATGATTTTTTGCCCAAAACTGCCCATCACTAAATTTTTATACGCAAACCTCGAGCCAAATCGACCTTTCTCGCTAAATGTCCTTGCTTAAGCCTGCCCAAAATGCCTTCGGACCCTTGTGGCTTGGCCTGGGCCTAGGCAGGGGCCAATGGACCGCTAGATCCATCGTCGGGGCTACAACAAATGTTATCTTCACCAATTTGTTTAATTTGACACTCCCACTAATATGATAGCGTCCAACGTGATGAGCAGACACATAATCTTTTTGATCTGATCTAAATATAGTTTGTATTGGCCATCAATTACCAACTACCACTGCCTGCTTAGTACTTGTGTTTGGCCATGAGATATTTCACTGTGTGTTCTCTACTTGTATCTTGGTGCTCATGTCTGATGGATATATTAGAATGAGTAAATTTCATGTTCTCTACTGAGAGAGACTAAGAGTAAATGGTGGGGCGAGATGAAGACTGAAGAGTTCGAGCCCTAAATTTTATTTTAGGGCAACCGGTTTAGTTTCTTGAGCAGAAACGGGAACCAAATTGATATTCACCTATTTCAAATTACGAGAACCGAGAACCGGCCGGTTCGGTCTGGTCTGGTATGGTTCTTGGGTTGGACCGGGACCGGTGCTCACCCCTAGAAAGTTTTCTCTAATCAGGTTTTGTATTAGTATTTTCACAAATATAGACATTAACAAAATCTAATTCTAGTTAAATTTGTTCGTGGTGATATACGTAACTTGCATTTCATTTTTGCAAGTTTCCTCCATCGTATATAACCCTTTCAAATGAAAAATTAAATAAGGGAGAATCCCGAGGATTTTTTATATAATTATGACACCATCGGCAAATGAAGACGGAATAAACTCTAACTTGGGAGATCGAACATTGAATTAATGCAAGGATAAGGATTTGACAATGATCCTTCTGCAGATTCACCTACCGAAACTTCGTTATGACTTCTCCTTCCACTAAATTTTTTAGATCACTTTGCAAAGTAACTACAAATGTTGAAGGATCGAAAGTAAACCTTTCCCATCCTTTGGAAGTTCATTTTTACTTGTCCCACTTTGGTTTGTCGAAGCAAACGGTTAGCAACTCATTGTTTTCGGAACTCTTGACTAAGTATTCGTCAATAATTAGCGACATAGTTTGATCTAACGATACCTAATCACACATAATAAAGAATATTGTAAGATATATTATTTGATACTACGTTATCCTTGGGCACATCGCACCCTCTGGGCGCCACCTTGCACGTCACCGTCCCCCTCATAATCCTCCCGCAGGCCCTTTCGCTCCATCTCCTCCTCCTCGATAACATCGAAGACGCATTTCCTCCTTCTCATCCCATTCCGTGTCCGGGGGTCGCGCCGATGAGAACGTCTGTTTCCGCAGCAAAACATCATAAAAGCATTGAGAACTAGACGCGAGTAAGAAGATAAGAAATGCATCGGATGTGGATACACGATAGTGACATGAGTTTGAATGTTTGACTGACGACTGGATTCAGACACTGATCATTAGTGTAAAATTCGTCTTCCACCTTACGCCACAACCACCATTTGACCAGGACACGAGAAGAAGGACGAAACACATCGAAGAGCGGTCAAAAGCAGCCACGAGAATGGCCGCCACCGATCTGATGGACTGATGTCGGTTTCCAGAACGAATTGACTTGAGTATGTGCATAAATTAGACGAATTGACTTGAGTATGTCACTGATAATTGGCGACATTGCATCAAGTGCAAACATCATGTTCAAAACACATGGGATTTCCTCTCGTACACTTACCTTAAAATATGAGAGATCGGGGGTATTTCATGGTATCGAGATTTTGGTTCTACTTAGCGTCTTAAGGAACCTTTTTTTTCCATCTTGAGAGCACTTGTTAACAAAAACACAAAACAAAGAAGAGATGCTAGCGTTGTGATCCTAAACTATCTATACGCATGTGCGTGCATGAAAGTTGAAATCCTCTGACGACGATTGTTTCTATGTGTTGTGCACATCAGTAGGTGCAAAAGATTTTGTCGAGTCCCAGTCTTGAAGGACCCCCACGTTAGGAGTGCATGCTGAGCAAGCACGACCCCGCTCTGCTTTGTCAAAAGCGAGGATCACAATCCGGAGGCCAAACCAAGAATCTATGGAAGTCGGGGCCCCAATTAATATCAGACCAGACAATAGGGGGCCATACTAACTTTTATTCTAGCATGTCTTGTACTCGATAGGTGCGTTGCTTGAACTGGCTTATTCGTTGGCTTGAGATGGAAATATTCGAATACCGGCAGAAGGACCGATAGGGCTAGGAGAAAAGGACAACATAGTTTTAGCAAGAATCCATAATGTATATCCTAGGTGGGGTGCAGGATATCTATATGGAACGAGCTTGCTTGCTACTATCTTGATGGCATAAAAAAAGAGTTCAACTACAAGGGATCTCAAATCAAATCAAACTTTATATAACAATATGCTTATAGGGGAGCCCAAATAAGAGTCACACTCGCACACAAGCAAAACACTTGTTTAATATGACACTCTCTCTTTCCTTGAGAAAAGTGTCAAAAAAGTCATAAATCTTTTGTATTTGTGCCAATTTAATCATAAACCTTTTTTTGGTACCAATTCAGTCCTAAACATTTGTATTTGTGCCAATTTAGTCCTAAACCTTTTTTTGGTGTCAATTCAGTCCTAACCTTTTACATTGGTGTCAATTTAGTCATAAACCTTTTTTTTGTGCCAATTCAATCATAAATCTTTTGTATTTGTGCCAATTCAGTCTTTTCGACTAATAGCTATTCACGTGTCCAAGGACTGAATTGGCACCAATGAAAAAGGTTTAGGACTGAATTGGCACCAATGCAAAAGGTTTAGGACTTTTTTGATACTTTTCCCCTTTTTTCTTATAATCCATAAGATACATGGCCAAACTCCTTTGTTCTTGTTTAACTCTTTTATATCTATACGAATATTGTAGTATAGAGGGAAAAAATATAATTGATCAAAGTCGTGCCTAATTTAGGGAAAAGTGCCAAAAAAGTCCTAAACCTTTTGCATTAGTGCCAATTCAGTCCTAAACCTTTTTTTGGTGCCAATTCAGTCCTAAACCTTTTGCATTGGTGCCAATTTAGTCCTAAACCTTTTTTTGGTGCCAATTAAGTCCTAAACCTTTTAAATTGGTGCCAATTCAGTCTTAAACCTTTTGTTTTTGTGCCAATTTAGTCCTTCCGGCCAATTTAGACCGGAATTTGCCTACGTGGACGCCTGCCGGCCGGCGGCCGGTCACCGGCGCCGACGTGGACAACTTTAATATTTTTTTAATATTTTTTTGAATTTTTATTTTTTTTCCTTTTTTTTTTCTTTTTTTTTCCACTTTTTTTTTTGGTTGTCTTCCTCCTTCCTCTGGCCGGTCGCCGGTCCGGCGACCGGCCACTGGCGAGGACGGCCTCGCCCGGCGAGGGCGAGCCTCGCCTTGGTCGGGCGAGGCTTGAGCCCGCGCCGGTGGCTGCGGCGTGGGCGAGCCCCGCCCGACCATGGCGAGGCCCGACCTCGCCGGAGGCCACGGCGAGGGCGAGCCTCGCCCGACCAAGGCAAGGCTCGAGCCCTCGCCGCGGCCTCCGGCGTGGGCTCGAGCCTCGCCCGACCAAGGCGAGGCTCGCCCTCGCCGGACGAGGCCGCCGTCGCCGCGGCCTCCGGCGTGGGCTTGAGCCTCGCCCGACCAAGGCGAGGCTCGCCTTCGCCGGATGAGGTTGCCCTCGCCAGTGGCCGGCGAGCTCGAGGTCGCCGGCCTCTGGCCTCTGGCCGGTCGCCGGACCGGCGACCGGCCAGAGGAAGGAGGAAGACAACCAAACAAAAAAAGTGGAAAAAAAAAAGGAAAAAAAATAAAAATTCAAAAAATATTTAAAAAATATTAAAGTTGTCCACGTCGGCGCCACATCGGCGCCGATGACTGGCCGCCGGCCGGCAGGCGTCCACGTAGGCAAATTCCAGTCTAAATTGGC